TATGTATGTATGTATGTATGTATGTATGTATGTATGTATGTATGTATGTATGTATGTATGTATGTATGTATGTATGTATGTATGTATGTATGTATGTATGTATGTATGTATGTATGTATGTATGTATGTATGTATGTATGTATGTATGTATGTATGTATGTATGTATGTATGTATGTATGCATGTATGTATGTATGTATGTATGTATGTATGTATGTATGTATGAATGTATATGCTTCAGCTTCCCGCTAGCAAGTTAAAAATTACTTATCACTAAAAAATTAAGAATAATAAGAACAATAATAATAATAATAATAATAATAATAATAATAATAATAAAGAAAGAAATTAACGGAGCGAATTAGTTCAGTTGGCAGAGAAAAACAACATCATCGTCAGGCCTTGTTTACATTTCCAGAGATCAAAATTTTTTAAATTATTTATCATAAAAAAATAATAAAAATTAAAATAATAACAATAATAATAATTTGTATTATTATTATTATCATTATTATTGTTGTGAGTTTTAATATTAATAATAAAACGAATAATAACATCATAATAACGTACGGTGTTAATACTATTGAGATTTGAACTTAAGATACAAGTATTATAGCATCATAACATTGCAACTGTTAACAACATTAGTAGTAGTAGCAGTAATAACAGCAGCAGCAGCAGCAGCAGCAGCAGCAGTAGTAGTAGTAGTAGTAGTAGTAGTAGTAGTAGTAGTAGTAGTAGTAGTAGTAAAAATAGTAGTAGTAGTAATAACAATAATTACATAACTCAAAACGAATTAATCTGAATATTGTTTCTTTCTCTCTCTCTCTCTCTCTCTCTCTTTCTCTTTCTATATATATATATATATATATATATATATATAGATAGATATATTTTTATTGTAATAATAATACTAACAATAATAAAAGTAATAATGATAATGTTATCAACGTTGTTATCACTTGCCATGATCACATCACATGTTGCTTCATTACAAACCTCAGGTTACTCATTATATCTCAAGATGATGATGACGACGACGACGACAATGACGATGATAATGATGACGATGATGAAGAGGAGGAAAATGATAATGATTATAGTGGTTCCATGGCTATGGTTATGATTGTGAAATTATGATTGTGATGATAAACTTCAATGCAAAACAAAACACAAATGCCGTCAATGCTGATGCAGATGATGACGCAGACGTAATTAAATTCATAGGTGACATTCATCATCATCATTCATTCTTTCGTGTTTTTCAGGAAAAAAACAAATTTTTTTCAATTATCATTCATAATTTTTTTGAAATAAAAAATTTCTCCTAATGAGTTTAATACCTATGCCCGCTTACATACCTATCTATTCACACGATGCAAATTCTGGCCGATGAAAATCCACAATAGCTAAATTCACATTCACAATAAACAATGTTGTTGGTGTTTGTTTCTCTCAGACAAGACTGATTCGTTTCCAATTTCTCTCAAGAAATTTCAAATTTTTTTAACTTATTTATTTAATTACTACTTGGTTTTAACTATAAATTTAATTTTGAACACATTTAAACCTTGTTTTTCGTTTTTTTTTTCACAATTTTATATTGCTCCA